GTATTCTTTCAAAAAACGGTGATTTTCTACCTTATTCATCTCTTTGCCTTTAAGAACCGAAACTGTGAATTTCCACACGGGGCTTAAATATGTTTCAGAGAGTTGATTTCTCCCACTCCTTATGTAGAAAGACTGTTTTAGCTTTCACACAACACAATTGTCCATCAGCAGAAGTTGAGAGTGAGAATCCCCTGACAGTTCTTGAAAAACAATATTTTGTTTGTGTTGGCAGCATCTAAGGAATTTATCCCTTTGACTCACGAAATCAAAAATGGGACTTTCCCCTTGCTTATTAAAAATTTCTGGGCTCGCTTTCAATGTATCGGCTTTCTCAACATAACTTCTCGTTTCAGGTACAAAGAGTCACTCAAGATGAGAAAACCGCTGAAACATCCCCTTTTATTTATTAAAGAGACGATAACATGAACTACCGTTTTCCTTTGTGGTATCAGTTACATCCACTTTACATTCGCAGCACAGTGATTTTCGAAGGAAGCCTCGCCAAAAATTAATGATTTCAAGGATTTAACACTTAACGACATGGCTGCGAGCGCTGTTAAACGGCAACCGGGGTACAAAAATGTTTTAGAAATGTATGTTTCCAATGAAAATACGTTCACCCGGGTGACCATGAAGAGAGGCGACAAGCTCTCCGTTCGCAGATTGCATGCTAAAAACAATATTTCGTTGAAGTCGTTGAAGAGTCGTGTTTCGTTGTCTTAATTTCTCTTTGGAAGTTATTTACTAAAATTCGAAATCCTAAACTCGTTCCAGGGGCGAAATGACCGACGAAAATAACCCTTATATTTCAAATCTTTTTGTTTACTCTGACGCGCATTCTGTTATTTTAATTCTCGACAAATGTAAGGGAATCTATATAAATACTTAATCCAAGACAGTATTGGATTCCGGATTTCACGCGGTAGATTCAGGATTCCAGGTACTGGATTCCGGACTTTGTGAATAGAACTTGGACTCCTGATTCCGATCGTCAGTGGGATTCCGGATTCCTTGAGCTGTATTCCGGATTCCAAAGCCAAAGATTCTTCATATGGCCACAAGCAAAAATCTCCCCGATTTCTCAATTTCTTGGTTCCCGGAGTCCGAAGTCCGGACTCCGATCCCTTACGTAGGGCGAAAATTCAAACAACTCCCATTGAATTTAGCCTTCCGTGCAGACAAAAGATTATTCTTACATTCTTTCAATGATAAGACCTGATAAGATTGAAAGTTATATGACCTAAGGCTATGCCGTCTCAATAGGTTTCCGTTTTGTTGGAAACGACAGCAGGGAAATTTCCCTTGTACATTCTGGAAAACATTTAGTTGTCATTGTGGGTAGCTACCTTCCATTTTAATAGTTATCCTACGTAACGTCAAGTACACCTTGCAAAAGTTTCCTATGACAGCTAGGTTTGTGTTGTCTGATTCTCAGTTCTCAGGCCCACGGCAGATCAGCTTTCGCAAGAGGTCAGAGCAGAATTCATTCAACTAGAATGGCTTTCAAGATCATTTTGTACCCATTTCTTTGCTTGTTGGTTTCCTCCACCGCAGAACAGAACTGTAGCGAGTATCAGTGCAGCCTTGTTCCGGTTGGAGAAGACCTGACATCTGAATTTCAACTCAAGGCGTCTGAAAAAGGAGTAAAGTTAGTTTACTTGCAAGTGAAAATAACCCGTAACGACAGCTATGGTCCACTGAATGTTCAAGACGAGTTTTTGCCAGATTGGTGGGTCTATACCAGATCCATTAGTGAACCCATGTTGTCTTTACCTTACGACTACGATGCATTATCTCTGGGACTTTTAAACTATCAAGAAAGAAGTATGATAGTACCTTTGAAAGAAAATCGTGCTGGATGCCTCGTACCCTTGAACTCGTCGTGTCAAAACAAAGTGATTGGGAGTGCGCTGTTAAAAAATGTCACAATTTCCATTCACAAAGAAGGTGTTGTATGTGTTCGAGACGTTAAAGATTACAACTTGTTTCAACTTTTATACTATGGCCACAACCTCGAGTACGGTTGTTGTATCAGAGAGAAAAATTATGTGGGGATTCGTTGCAACCAGTCTGTAAGAACCACCGTCTGGCTCGATGCATTTAATGCGGTTCTTTTCATGTTGCAATTCGTGTTGGTGTTATATTTCCCTGCATTTCCCCTTGCTCTACCTGACTTCATTTTCAATTTTCAAGAAGAACTAGAGAAAGAACAACAAGAAGACGAAAAACTAAAAAATGAGCTTGATAGAAATAGGAGAGGACTGGATGCAAACAATCAAGATAGCCATGATAATCAAGGACAAGAACTGCAAGATCCACATTATTACCAGCGAGATAGCACTGCAGAAGGTGATCAAAACCTTTATCCCGAACCTGAAATTTCAGTTATCATTGATGATGGAAGTCCCTTTTCTTGTTGCAGAAGATCAGATACAAACATTCCAGATAGGAGTGAATATGAGCAGTTTGATACCTCATATCATGCTGATAACCAAAGACAAGACCCTCAAGATGGACGTGACGATCATGATCAGCGAGAGAGCGGTACGGAAGGTGATCAACACCCTTCAGAACAAATGTTAGTTTACATGGATGATTCAAGTCCAACTACCTGTTGCAATCTACTGAGAAGAGTTATATCTAGCAACTATTCTGGGAGCTTACGACATCTAAAGTTTTCCTTTAATATCAAGCTGCTTTTTCTTGTATTCGGCGTAGCCCCCACTTTTTTGTACTTTAGACTACTACTATTAGCTTTAACAATAAAACGCAGGGTTTTCGACGAAACTGAGGCAAAGAAAAACTTATCACTAGACGGAGTGCATTTGTTTTCAAGGGAGTTTTTTTACTTAGTAACGGCCTTTGATATCTTCACTTTAATATTTGCCGTTTCCGTTCCTTCGGTAGCGGTTTTGTTTTCGAGACCTCAGGACTTTTTGCTCGACGGCAAATGCAGGATCTGCGGAGAACATTTTTCTTCAGTCGAAATAGGAGAAGACATGCGAAAGCACATAGAAGATTGGCAACTAAATCTTAGGAGGTTTGTGATGTGGATATTTAAAACACACAGTAGCATTATAACCTGGGTCATAGAATGTACAGCGTGTATATTAGGACATATCAAGCCATCTGGAAGGCTGAAAAGAAGCTTGGCAAATGCTAGTTATGTTCCGGTTTATACAATTATTTTAACGATTTTTGGTGTGGTTTTAGGAGTATTTGGCCTTTTTATATTACTCGTGGGGTTTATATTAGCTACTATGTGGTATTCACCGTTAGTTTGTGTTCTAAACATCGCGTATCGTAGAATGTATGGTGCTTACATGTTACTTGCCACCTCATCATTTAGAATCATTATTGGAAAGGGCATTCGTACAGTTTTTCCAATATTGGTTGTACTTAGTCCCATTCTAGCCCTTGTTGCTGTGGTTGTCCTTACGATTATAGCTATTTTTATATTTTTTCTCCCTATCTACTGGTTGTATTTACCCTGTTTCTTCGTCCTTATATCTGCTCGTTTTCTTGTAAGAACGTTTGGTTTGACAATTATGGCATTAGTTTTCAACAGGGAAATTTTATCCAATTTTTTATCGTTTCTTGTTGCCGCAGTAACAAATCTGTTACTGTGTTACTATAACTTCCAAAATGCGTACAAGGAAATCAAGGACATGATTTTCAAGTATCGGCAAAAACACAGGCCACAAAATTGCAGTATGGACACCGGCAAAGAGGATTCATTTCCCGAGAAGCTTTTCTGGTCTGTAATAGATGATCACAGAGTACTACCGATAATCCCAGAATTCTATCGTATGCTTCGCAAAATGGCTCTTATTTTGATCTTCGTATTTTTGGCTTTTTGTTCAGCAATTTTGTTTAGTGATCCTCACGACTTTGGGGCAGCATATTTAACCATTTCTTTATTTGCAACTGGAGCAATTGCTGGACTGGTTTTCAGAGGCATGACTATAGGAAAGAGATTTACCGGTGCGGGAAAACAGAAGATCGAGAAACAAATTGAAGACGCAGTTATTTCGTTTTATGGTCGTCGCCGTGAGGTAGTAGTACATATATATACACATGTCTAA